CCTGCTTGCAATGGCCTAGTATACAGTAGATCTGTATCGCTGTATCACCTCTTGTCTTCTTTCTCTCCTATTTTCACCCAGAGACATTCAACCAGTCTGCTTCTCACCTTTTCCAGAACTTCAGGAAAAGTATATGTATTATTGACATAAAATTTAACATCTCCTTGCTTTTTCCCTAGCTACCTTTAATGAACAAGCTGGATCAATACTCTACTCATGTGATTTATCCCAGCACTAGCTCATTTCAGAATTTAAACACTTTGAAGGTTTGGAAAATTTTTTCTTAATGTCCTCTTCATCAGTCAGCCAGCCAGCATTGTCTGCCTTACCTACAAGCTCTGCTGGAAGAAAGAATGAATTATGTGTATCAGAATAATACGATGCCATATCAGGTCTTCTCTCTCATTAGATGAGTAAGAAGAGGTGATTTTGCATATTCCAGACTGTTAGAGTACAGGGCATATTGACTGAGAAAATGAATTGGTGATGTTATAAGATACACACAAAAGGACATGGGATGAAATTACAGAAAGTTAGTGGAGGAGGAAAGATCAGGTTGTATTCAGGAATCAGAATGGCTGTGAAAAGTGGAAGATATCAGGTGACTAGCCTGACTCTTATAGTGGCCAGAAATAATAGTATGTCACATGTGGGAAGACCCTGAGGTTGTAAGCCCAATTGTGATTTGTAATGGACAGAGCTTGACTTAACAGGAAGACTTCAGAGAGATAGGTAAGTGTCATCAGGTTTGTGGCATTAGCACCATGTAAGGTCTGATCCTTGAAGGTGCGAATATTTAACCTTGTCTATGTCTTTGAAGCTTTTTCAGTTTCACTACTAGTTTTACCGCCAGACCTTTCCCAAGTATAATGTTAAAACAGGTAATTCTGTCAATGTCCCTTTCCAAAGAATTGCTTATTATTCTTTACAGTGATACATCTCCATGTACTACAGAAAACAGTCAAGAGTATGTATGAGCAGTTCAGACCACATAAAATTAAATAAGCAATGTATTTTCACATTTGGAAGGAACATACTGCAAGCAGGAAAGTGCTAGACATAATATTTTTAAAGTAATAGTATTTAATTTAGACTAATTAGTTTTTTATTAAACATAAGATTAAAATAATATCATGATATTTATATCAATCATATTTTACAGTCTGGTTCCATAGCATTTTATGCAGCCAGGCCAGTTCGTTTTCCAGTATATATGTCTTAGAAGGATGTCAGATAATATATAGCTGTAAAACTTCTCAATAGCAGACATTTCCTGAAAGCTGGGAGTCCAGATACTTTACCTGACTTCAAAAATCTAGGCTCTGCATTTTTCTGATTATTTTCTCCATTTATTTTAAGTGTTTGAATAATGAGTGCTAATGAATGATGTTCAATTGAGCCTTGGGAACTGTGTTATTCTTTTAAGAACTGCAGGATAGGTAAAAGTGCACACGATGCAGTCTGTAGTGGCACAAACACAGCCCTATCTGTTTGCTTTCAAACTGGCTTGTTTTGGGGACATAATTGGGATCATACACTTGCTTATTCATCCCAGTCTGTGAAGGCAGTTACTACTGATGCTAGGGGTTTGAGATGCTGATTGATGACTGCAGTTATCAGCCTGTTTCATATTAGATTCCACACACATACACACACACACACCCCATGGTCATGACAGTAGGATGCTGAACGTTCCTCATACTTTTTCATTACTTGATTATATCTATTCCATAAGCAAATGCAGGGTCAAATCTTACCCATCTTACTTCATGTAAGTTAGAGTTGTTGGGATTGCTTGCATAACTAAAGACACATGGATGTGATCCATGATAAAAAATAAATTATAACATTAACCTGACATTGTGTCCAGAGAAGATCCTTTTGCCTAGGGCAAAGCCACTAATGATAAATATCCTTTAGTATAGAAAACATAATAAACATCAGCAAGGTTTGCACTCAAGAGGAACTAGCTGGAATCAGGCTGTTTTAAGACCTTTATAAATTTCTGCTAATAAAACACCTGCAGCGTGAGCTACATCATTTCAGTTACCCCTTTCTTGAACACACATGATCATTCAGTATGAACTGTGTGATAATTTTGTAATGTGAATTGTAGTGATTCAACATCCATTGGTAATGTAAAACTGAAGATTTCATGTTGCTTTTGTATACAGTAATACACTTTTGTGCTTAAGGCAAACATTCATTTGCAGAGTAGGACTTTGCCTAAAGCAGAAGGCTGAGGGTGTAGAACAACCTCACTTAGCCAGTAGGAAATGTCAGGCATGGACGTGAGTTTGAAGCCATTCCCTCGCATCCAATCACCAGACACCTGAGACAGATCAGCACTCCTCTCTCCACACCCCATCATGAGGAAGTTTTAGATAAGAATGAAGTCTCCTCTTCTCTTAGCTCAACAAACCAGTTATCTTCAGCCCCTCCTCATTAGTCATGCCCTGTAGCCTTTTCACCACCTTTGTTGCCCTCCTTTAACACATTCTGATTTTTTTTTTTTTCAATTTTCTGTTTTATACAGTTGGCCCTTTAGGCCAATAGGGCACATTGTTAACTCCTGTTGGGCGTACCATCAACCAACACTGCCAGATCCGTTTCTGCAGGTCTGCACTCCAGCCTCCTGTCCCCTGTCCATACATAAAAGGATATTAAGTTAGTGAGGCATGACTTTGCCTTCATGAACCCATGCTGGCTTTGACTGTAGGTGCTTACACCCTTAGTTAGGCACTGAGCAGAGATTTTGAATCTTTCATGCAAAAAACATTGGACATAAGTGTTCAAAGGGGCGTATCTGTGAGAAGTTTGTGCATGGAAGGTGTCCATGAAATTAGGCTTTTTAAGTTGAAGCTTTTCTTAACTTCACGCTCAGCAGTGCATTTCTGGATAAGACTTAACACTTCCTTGACCATCCTTCTCACCCATTTAAGACTCTATTTCTGATTCTTCAGTTAATGACCACAGACAGTTTTACAAGTGTAAATAAATTTGGTCTCCAAATGCTGCAGAGTCTAGCATGTAAGTATTAGCAGGTGAAGGTCCACAGAAGACCAACACCTTTGCAGTGAAATGTAGTCACTGCTGGCTGTTCCATAACCACTAGACTGTGCTTCTGTCTATATACAGCAATTTTGTATGTGGATTTAAATTACAGAGCTAGATTCTGCTGCTGCCTGTTAAGTGCTGATGACAAAGAATAGAAAAATCTACCACTTAAAAAGCTGCTGGGGTTTAGAAGAGGGTTCTCTTAGAAACACTTAATTTGAAGATTGTTTCTAATTATGTATTGTTTTCTGAGATTTACTTTCCTCACCTTTTTACTATTAAGACATTTATATGAATGCAGGTTCCTACTTTCTTAAGTGATCATCCGACTTGCTATTTGTTCTCTTTGTGAAATCATAATCCTTTATTTGTCACAGCACAATAATTTCCGTGGCAACCAGTTGTGATGTCACATGCAGAAGCTTATGATTTCAAGAGCTGGTTTGCTTTTAAATAGAAGTTCCTGTCTTGTAAGCAAATATCCCTTGTCCACCTAAACACTGCAATTAAATGGAGATGGAAAAATACATGCTATAGAAGCAATACTGTATCTAGCCAGAATATTTATCAAAGGTTTCTGTGAGATAGTGGCAACTTTTCAATGCTCTTTTAACATAGTTAACTGAGGAGTATTTTGCATTTGGTTCTGATTCTGGGCCATTAATACCTTCTCTGCCAAATACATGAGAAGACATTATTCTAGGAGTTGATTTACGAGATGAAAGTTTTGTATCTTCACAAAGTCTCAGGAGAGCCTTGGAGGTACATTTTCTGTCTTGCTGTCTTTCCTGTAATAAGGACAAGGATTACATTTCTTTAAAAAGGATTACATTTCTTTAAAGCATGTGCAGCTTTTAATGCCCTGGCACTTGGACCCTCTCTGGAGAAAGAGGTGGGAGAGATGTTCCTTCAGCTCCTTGTCAGGCTGTGGCTGCTCCTTGTTAAGCACTAAGAACAAAACCAGAAATGAAAAAAAAGCAAGCTAGAGGCTCTGTACTTGTGTTTCATTAGTGCTGCTGGCTGGATGCACAACTATGTCAGAAAAAAACTACTTTCTTCAGAAATTCAGGGTATTTATTAATGCTGAATTAGGGACTTCAAGTAGAGGAGGCAGAGTCTGCCAAAGATGTCTTCTCTGACAGTGGGTGCTTGGAGGGCCAAGTAAGGTTTGACGGTGATCTTTGACCACAGCACAGGACCACAAGATGCCCTCAGAGTCAGGTCTCTCATGAGAAAGTATAGGCTTCAGCAGAGCGGTCGACCTATTTTTGTGTTCAGACAAGAGAGAGATTTTAAAATTAAAATAGCAAGGACAGTCATCTAGCAGGCTCAGTAGATTTCAGCACTGTGCTCTATCTTTCAAAGTTATTCAAGCATCCTCCTGAAGCTCAGGCATGTGACACTGACTTTTAAAACACATGACAAAGATAACAGAATGGCGAGCAGAGAAAGAAGCCTTAAACAATGTGGCATGCACGGCTCTGGTATTTGTAAAACTGTCTCCTCGTCTCTTTTTAAAGGTTTTTCAATGATGTGAATGGTTTAGCATAGTAAAAATAAGACGGTATTAGCTGAGGAGAGATCAGATGGAGGGAGGGGAGGAATGAGCGATATTTCAGAGGATGAGGAATAATAGCCCTGACCTGCTGAAGTCAGTGTAAGGATTTCAGACTTGTACTTGCCCTGCAAGTAAATTCTTTCTCCCCTCCTGAACTGTATAGTCTTTGACTCCAGATCTGAAAGCTGTACTGAAAGCCCAAGGTTGCACATGCAAGATGTATCTGGCAGGTACAGTATGTCTTCAAATTTGGGCAAGCTGATCAAAAATCACCTTGCAAAATACAAACCAACCTCTCAGGGTGTGCCTTTGAAAGAAGTAGTTAATGGTAAGTAGCTTTTCCCTGTCTTTAGTTTGTTTAACCACTGTATGCTGTTTATTGCAGGAGTGATTCGTGAGAGTTACCTGAAGGGTCATGATCAGCTGGTGCCAGTCACCCTGTTGGCCATTGCTGTTATTCTTGCTTTTGTCATGGGTGCCGTCTTTTCGGGAATCGTAGTGTACTGCATCTGCGATCATCGCCGCAGAGACGTGGCTGTCGTGCAGAGGAAGGAGAAGGAGCTGACACACTCCCGCCGTGGCTCTATGAGCAGCGTTACCAAGCTCAGTGGCCTCTTCGGGGATGCTCAGTCCAAGGAGCCAAAGCCTGAAGCTATCCTCACACCCCTGATGCACAATGGCAAGCTGACTACCCCAGGCAGCACTGCCAAGATGCTAATCAAAGCTGACCAGCACCATCTGGACTTGGCTGCCCTGCCAACCCCTGAGTCCACCCCAACTCTGCAACAGAAGAGAAAGCCCAGCCGTGGCAGCAGGGAATGGGAGAGAAACCAGAACCTCATCAATGCCTGCACGAAAGATATTCCCCCGATGGCCTCACCCGTGATCCCAACCGACTTGCCTCTCAGGTCTTCTCCTAGCCACATTCCCAGTGTTGTGGTCCTGCCCATAGCTCAGCAAGGCTACCAGCATGAGTACGTTGACCAGCCAAAAATGAGTGATGGGGCTCAGATGTCTGTGGAGGACCAGAATGCCACCCTTGAGTACAAAACTATCAAGGACCATCTCAGTAGCAAAAGCCCCAGCCATGGGGTTAACCTGGTGGAAAATCTCGACAGCATGCCACCAAAAGTACCCCAGCGGGAAGCTTCCCTCGGGCCCCCAAGCACCTCGCTGTCACAGAGTGGCCTGAGCAAGCGGCTGGAGATGCACTCTTCTGCTTACAACGTGGACTACAAGAGAAGTTACCCTACAAACTCGCTCACGAGAAGTCACCAGACATCAACCCTCAAAAGAAACAACACTAACTCCTCCAACTCATCCCACCTCTCCCGCAATCAGAGCTTCGGCCGGGGCGACAACCCGCCACCGGCCCCGCAGCGAGTGGACTCCATACAAGTCCACGCTGCTCAGGCACAGGCTGTGACTGTATCTCGGCAGCCGAGTCTCACCACGTACAACTCGCTGACAAGGTCAGGGTTGAAACGCACACCCTCGCTAAAGCCAGACGTACCTCCCAAACCTTCCTTTGCTCCACTCTCCACGGCCATGAAGCCCAACGATGCGTGTACATAATTGGGGGCGGGGGGGAGGGGGAGGATGGCAATTAAGCAGAGGTTGCCCTTGAAAGCCAGTGTTCTGCAACTGTTATCACTCGCTCCTCTGAGAAGACGGTTGTTGCAAGCTGAAGATGTATTGGATTTCTGCTCTCTGGGAAAAGTGGAATATTTTTTTAAACCCGAGCCATATGACCCATGGTTGAAGGTTTGCAATTGCAGGACTTGCCCCCACAACCTGCCAGTTCTTTGCTCAAAAGACTAACCCTCCATGACAAACATTGAGCCAAAAGCACACAGGTGAAAGATGACTGTGACATTTCACCCACTGCCCCCAACTGCGCAGTGCACTCCTGAACTGGGAAAAAAATATGAAAAACAAAACAATAATTACAAAAACAAACAAATTTAAAAAATTTTAAAAAGAAGAAAAAAAAGAATCCGTTGATAAAGCTAACTGACTTAACAATGGCAGAAGTTTACTATGTGCAGGTACTGTGAAATGATGCTCATCAGTGTTACAGCCATTTGGTTACAGCAGTTAAATGCCATGTTGGGCGATCTATGTCGTAGATTTCTGCTACCCTTCTCTTTTAATGAATAACATGTGACTGTTAACACAAGTAACTCCTCTTATTTATTGTTCAACTTTTGTTTTTCCTAAGGAAATAACTTCTGCGTATCATCCTGTGAGCAGCTCTTCAGAGAAGTACCTTGAAAGTTATACCTATTTAACATGAAACCCATTAACTGGAGTAATTAAAACTTTTATTTTTCCAGTAAATTCACTGAATTAGGTAAGTTGGAGCTGGAATTCTGAACTTTGTGCCTGGACTGCCTGATTAGCTGAAAAAAAAGGGGATATCTATTTAAATCTCTCAGCTAATTAGCTGTCTGGGCCTCTGACCTAAGACAGCAACAAACAAATACCGCAAGTTCATAACTTCTGAAGCAACTGCAAGAGAAACTCTTAAAAGCCGCACATTTGTGCACCATTGCTATCAACATGGCTTTGTCAGTAGCTAATACTTTCTGTGAAGGCACCAGCTTGTGATGTGCCATCTCATTTCACCTTGCATGTGAGACGGCAAACAAAATCCTCAAACAGTGTGAACTAGTTAATATGCCGGCTGTTACCATGCATAAATTATGGTCTTATCACACGGGTTTTTCGTGGGAATATATCTGTGAATAGCCTGTTTTCTTCCACATGTAAATTTGTGCCTTACACCCTCAGTTGTGTATACTTGTGAGCTGTAGTATGTAAAACCTTTTTCTTTTTCCCCTTTGAGTAATGCGAATATTTATTGATCCTTCTTCCTCCAAGCTCCTTCAAGAACTGGAGTAAAGACATGGAAAGAAGAACGTGGTGGTTATTGTCACAACCTCGTGTCCCTCAAGGAATTAGGCTAACACCATACCCTTCACTTCAATTTGACTTTCTAGCTGTGCCAAGTCCCCTCTCAAAACCACTCACAAGCAGCGATGCTCCCAAGGCACCATGCTGGCGGTTCTGCCTTCCCCCACCTCCTGCTCCCCCTTTAACGCATGTCAGCATGGGGATCATTCTCACTGAGCAGCAGGGAAGTGACCAACACCCTTGCCCATGGGACTGGTGTGTCCCCTGGTTGGGGACAAGCGCTGGCGAGAGGGGCGAAGCCCTGCAGAAAGCTGAGCCGTACATCCTGCAGCACACAGGGCACATGGAGCTAGGACAGGCAGGCAGGCTCCTGCTGTGGCTACCTGCTGCTCCAGAAGGATGCTGCATATACTTCTTTGGGGAAAAAATGTATTTTTTTTTTCCTTTGTTTCTTTCGTGTGACTGTGCATGTAGCTAGTGTGGGAGTGTGCGCGCACACAGGTGTGTGCGTGTGTGTGTGTGCGCGCAGGTGTGTAAGTTCCTTTCCAGTCTTTCAGTTTATGCAAAAACATAGATGTGTTTTTAATCTGTTACAATAACTGTGTCAACATACTGTAGAAAAATGATGGGGATCGCTTCTAAGCTTTTTATATATATATATATATCTACTGAACAGTATGTTTGAGTAAGGTGGTTGTTTCTGTTTCAATTTGTTTTTTAAAATTTTATACTTCCGTTTGTTTTTCAGGGGTTTGGTTTTGTTTCTGAATGATTGAAAACACAGATTTTAAGTCCATTAGCTTATAGACGGTATATATAAAGTCTGGATGGTCTAGACCAAAGTGTGTAACAAGGGTGCTTGCATGTTCTTTACTTTCATCATGGCTTCTTTTATGAAACAGTTTCGTTCACCCTTAGTGAACTATGCAGACTGGAGTAGATAGATCTGTATCCAAAGCAATGTTGTTGTTTTAATAATAAAATAAAAAAAAAAACCCAAAAAAATAAACAAACAGAAAACCCTTTGAAAACAGTAGGTAGCAAGGTCATTTTTTTAAAAAGAACCAACTTGCAACCTTTTTACCAAGCTCCAAACCCCTGGAGCACCGAATGTTCAGGTCCCCTTGATATTACTCTGCATAGCATTCTCCCAAAACGTAGAGATGAATAATCATGGCAACAGCTTGTGCAGCGATCTGCCTTCACAATGTACACCACACCAGTTACCGGGCTGACCTTGAAATGTGCATTTTGTAGTCGGTGGGTCTTCTGTTTTCACCCTTCCCCACCCCCGGTTCCCTCCCACCCTCTGTTTTGAGGGGTTCATGAACCTATGTGTGCCTTTGCTTTCCACCCTTGCTATACACTGGTAGATGCAACAAATTCAGACTGTCATTTGTTGTAAAGTTGTAAAGTATTGTGATGTCACCAGTTCCCCTTCATTTCCACATCCCCCTAACATCTGATTCACAACTTAATGTATGTTGTAAAAAGGAAAAAAAAAAAAAAAAAGGAAAAAAAAAAAAAACCACAAGAAAGAAAGAAGGAAGAGAAAAGGGGAAATAAAAGCTCCTGATTACATATGGTAATAAAACCAGACTGTTCTACCTTATTTCTTGTGTCCTGGTTCTTTTGTTTCGATGATTTTTCCTCCAAAAAAAATTTAAAAATGTGGTGCTGATCATTTAGATCAGGTTATGGTGAGAAAGAAATTTGTTACTTTCTGTCTCTTACAGAAGATGAACTTAACTGTAGAGTAAGCTGAAGGTAATTAAAAATTGAATCACACATTTGCTCTCCCTCTATTCATATTCTGCATTTTCTTTTTATGAGCTTGTTCATCATCAAATATTTATGGCAGACTTGATAGTTTAAGAGATCAAGGCTGGGATTTAAGCACGCGTGGTCCACAGAAATAGATCATCATACAGATGTGACTTCATCTCCTGGCTTTACAGATTAATAAGGGAGGAGCCTGTGTGTTTTCTTTTAGCAGACATAAATCTACTGTGTTTCATAGACCTGATTGAGAGGATATTGCCTCAGACTAACTCTGCAAGAAATTGATAGTAAACAGATAAATAACAAAAAAGTGTATAATCTGCCTAGTCCTGGTACTCATTAAAACACTTGCGTTCTCCACATTGATTTTGTGTAAATGGCAATCACTTACACTCAGCTGTTACAGTACAGACAAATGCTTTGTTACACTAGTTTCTGGCCTTAGTGATTTTGTTTTATGACGGGAGTTTTGTGTGACCCTGTAGAAATGAGGAATCCAATCCAACAATTTACCCTTGCTCAAGTCATACTTGGGCTTTCCTGCCCTGCTAGGACACCCTGTTCTGGACCTAGAGCCTTACTGATAACATGCTGGTCCCCCACCTCACATCACGGATGATAGCACTGACACTGGCTCCGCAGAAGGTGGTGAAGTACTAGCTTTCCTCAAGGAGCTGGACATGATGGATGTAAAAAGAGAAGTCACAAAGGCTTGGCACAGTCTCTTCAGTGGAAAGCAGCAGGCCCATCTGCAGCTCCATCTCCCCCTCTCTGCCCTGGAGGACACCAGGGCACCAAAGGTGGTGGTCTTGGTGTAGCACTGACGTGCCAGAGCATAGCATTGCGAACGTAGTTTTTCAGCACCGTGCCCACAGACATGTCTCTATTTTTTTCTCGGGTGCAGGCTTCCTTTGAGCCAGGCACACTGGCATGCAGATGTGTGGTGTGGACACAGGGAAGATACCTGCCACGACCTGGACCTGACAGGCTGCCCTGAGTGACATGAAGGGACCCCTCTTCTGGGGACTGGGGTAACTGTACAGTCACACAATGATCCACACTCTGCTGCGTTTGATCTGCGTGCTCACAGAGTCACAGCAAACAGGAAAGCAAAAGCTCTCCAGGTGCTTAGAGACGTGCATCGTTTTCAGTCATACAGCCAGTCCTTTGCAAAGTTAATTTGTCCAGCTTTGGTTGAAATGCTTCATATTAGCAGCACCTAGGGAAGGTGTTCAAAGATTAATATACCTCTATTTTAACATTAATATTCGTATTCATATTCCTCGATAAACAGGGCCCAAGAACACATCTAGCAGTAGCACTGGCTGCGTCCTTTGCAGAGCTCCTTTGTCTGTTGCCAGTGGAAGGAAGGTCCATTTAAAGCACAGGCATGAAGGAGGGAGGGCGAGCAGGGGAATGCCCTGATGCACAAGCTGTATGAGGTCTGTAACAGCTCTGGTTGTGTGGTCACAAACTGCTGCCCAAGGGAAGGAATGAACCTAGCCCCTTAAAGCTTTTTCCCTCGCAACACCTTCCCCAATGTGCACTGCTGCACTGGCACACACAGAGTCTCTGACAGAGACCTGTCTTACCCTACTTCCGTGCAGAAATGGCCAGGAGAGAAGCTGAAGGAAACAGGGTGTGTATCAGACCCCACTGCCCTGGTGCAGCCTTGGCCAGCCAAGCGCAGCACTGGTATCCACAGCAGCACCGCACCAAGGAAATGCCCCTCCACTGAGCACCCACAGCTCCCCCCAGAGAAGAGCCAGTGCCTTCAGCCTCCAGCATGGTGGCTTTCGACAGAGGAGGATACTTCTGAGCTACCCGCTGTCAGTTTGAATCATGAGATGTGTCCCCTGCAGGGACCACTGGTGCCA